CAGGTGCTGGGTGGGTGTGGCTGACTGGATGGGGGTGGCCGCGGTGGTCATGGCTGACTGGGTGAGTGTGCCACGGTGGGTGTGGCCACCTCGATGATGCTCATGGGGGACGCCTGTGGGGGCTGGGCAGAGTTGGGGGAGATCGAGGGGGTCTCTGGCGGGTGGGGTGGTGGACCAGAGGCTTGTCCTATGGGGTAAGGCAAGGTGAGGCAGGGTGAGTGTGCCAATTGCCACGGGGCAAAGCAAGGCAAGGGCCGGAGCAGCTGCTGCTTGATACCATCAGCCTCCACACACAGAGGCCAGCGAGTGCATGGGAGCCAACGGTGTCCATTAGTAGCCATAGCATGCTGGCTGTCCTGCATCATGGCAGCCCCATTGGCGTGGGCGGAGACGGCCCCAGGACATCCAGAAAGGAGCCCTCACCTCGTGCGGGCCCTGTCTACATGGTGGTTCTGACAGGCAGAGGCTACTGCTCCTCCTGCTGCTCTGAGCCCCTTGACCAGCCAACCACACAGGGAAGCAGGAGGCGGCGGCAGTGATCCCTGCATTGTCAAGCCTGGCTAGCAGCAGATCTGGATGCGAAGCTGTGCTGCCCACACTCGCGTTGATGGAGGCAGTGGCGGGAGAAGGTGAGCTGTGGTGCATGCCCATCCCTCCCCACTGCCACCCACATCGTCCTGCATGCACGGCCCAGAGGTGCATGCGGGATGATGTGGGGCAGCAGCAAAGGGTGGGCACATGCCAGATACTGCCTTCCCCTGCTGCCGCCACCCCCACCAGTGCGAGGATGGTGGGCACAGCTTCGCTTCCGGATCTGCTGCCTGACACCATTGGCCCTCACACACAGAGGCCAGCAAGCACATGGGGGCCAACAGTGTCTGTCAGCAGCCACAGCATGCTGGCTATCCTACATAATGGCGAACTGGCCACGGAGCCCCATCGGCGCAGGCGGAGATGGTCTCAGGATGGCTGGAAGGAAGCCCTTGCCTGGTCTGGACCCATCCACTCAACGGCTCTGACAGGGGTGGCCTCTGCTGCTGCTCTGACTGGTCAACCATGCAGGGAAGCAGGAGGGGCAGCTGGTGCGCGAAATCCGCTGCCTCATTGGGCTGCCAGCAAGCAGCCGAGGTGGCTCCAGACCCATGGCTGCCCCTCCACCTCCTCCTGCTTTCCTGCATGGTTGACTGGCCGATGGTGTCAGGTAGCAGATCCAGAAGCGAAGCTGTGCCCACCATCCTCACGCTGATGGGGGTGGCGGCAGTGGAGGAAGGCAGGATCTGGCATGTGCCCACCCTTTGCCCGACCAAGAGGGGGAGGGGAGCAGCCCGGCTCTGCGTCCCTCTGTCTGTGGCAATGGTGCATGTGCCCACAGGGATGGCTCTGCATGCCACCTGTGACACACGTGCCATAGGTTTGCCACCACGGCTATAGGGTCTTCCATCACAAGGAAGAAAAAGCCTCATGAGTTCCTCTCAAAATGGTGAACAATACAAGTTGCCTCTCTTCCCATCACTTAAACAGTGAAGGCCAAGATCTGCTTACGTTATTGGCTGTGTCTAGCAATTACACAGCACTCGTGCTATTTCTAGTCAAAAGATATTACAATGAAGAGCAGATGTTAGTTTTGGTGATGTGGCACTAAAAGCATACCTTTCTCAGTCTTGACTGTAATAGAATAGTGCTCTTCTCCATCAGTCTGAAACATTGTGTAAGAGATCCAGCAATTCTCTGAATCCTTTTCCCTGCATTCTTTACTTTTTGGTTGCACTTTACTTTCAACAATAATATTTGAACAATTATCAGAGCAATTCTTCTGAAATGGACCACTCCCAAAAGCAAGACATTCAACACAGGAACTAAAAAAAAAAAACCAAGAAGGAAAGCTTTTTTTAAAAGTTTCATAACAGAACCATGATACAACAGATCTATATTTTATATAGTATATTATAGCATATTATAAATGAGGAGGATGTAAAGCTGAGAGAACCCAGACTTACTAAAATATATACTATGTAAGTTCTGTATCAGGAGGATGACAAGTATGAGCTAACCTCACAAGGCAAGAGTGTCCACTATCCCCATTATTATTTATTTTTACTTTGGAAGTTTTAAATAAAAGGATTAGACAGGACACAGAAATCAAAGGATTGAAGATAAAAGATGAAACATATAAGTTACAAGCATTTGCTGATGATCTAGTATTTATTTTGGAAGAACCTTTAGAGATGATCCCTAAGCTATGGGGAAAGAGAGAAGAGTATGGAGAAATGGCGGGATTAAAAATAAATAAAGTAAAAACTAAGGTAATAGTTAAGAATCTCACAGATAAACAGAAAAGGCAAATGCTAGAGAAAACAGAGGTTACTTAGGTATACATCTTTCGGCCAAATGTTCATCAATAAAAGAAGACAACTATACAAAATTATTGAAACAAATAAAGCTAGACTTGGAAAGATGGAAAAATCTGCAGTTGTCAATATTAGGAAGAATTGCTACAGTAAAAATGAACGTACTACCGAAGATTCTATTTTTATTTCAAACAATTCCGATAAAACTTGAGAATTTTTTTTTCAAGATTTAAACTCATTAATTTTGAACTTTATTTGGCAGGGGAAGAAAGCTAGAATGAAGATGAAAACACTACAAGATGCTAAGGAAAATGGAGGATTTGGGCTGCCGGAATGGGCGTTGTATTATCAGGCATCTGTTTTAACATGGGTGAAAGAATGGATAATGCTTAGAAACAAAAGGTTGATATATTTAGAGGGACATGATTTACAATTGGGGTGGCACGCTTTCTTATGGTATGGGAAAAATAGAGTTCATAAGTATTTTCAAAATCACTTTATAAGAAATGCTTTGTTAACAGTATGGGAAAAAATTAAAGCTAAAATATACCTAAAAATTCCACAGTGGTTATCAACATTGGAGGCATTTGTACATCCGAACATGGTAGACTTTGAAAAAATATGGGCATATAGAGATATTCTAAATATTGATGGGAATTTAAAATCTAAGCAAGAACTGGAAAATCAGGGGATCAACTTTTCATGGTGGGCACATTTACAGATACAAAATAGATATGAAAAAGATGTGAAAGTGTATGGATTTTATAAAGATCAAACTGTGTTTGATAAGATTTTGTTAACCTCAGATGAAAAATTAATTAAGAAAATGTACAATTTTTTTGTTAATTTTGGAAATGGAAAGCGAACAAGTTAAAGAAACAGTGATAAGATGGGTGAAAAACTTTGGGTATAATATAGAACTAGAAAAGTGGCAAATGCTATGGGAGAGAAACTACAAATTAACAATGTCAACTTCAGATAAAGAAAACTTGTATAAAATGTTTTATAGATGGCACTTGCCACCAACAAGATTAGCAAAAATGTTTAAAAATATGTCAGATAGAAGCTGGAAATGTAAACACAATGCAGGCACGTACTACCACATCTGGTGGACATGTGGCAAAGCTAAGGCTTATTGGAAAAAGATACATACGTGGTTAGAAAAAATATTAGGTGAACATGTGAATTTTAAACCTGAACTTTTTTTTACTAGGTATAATGCCTGAAAAGATTAATAAGCAGAGTTTATATTTAATTTTACACATCACTACAGCAGCAAGAATAATCTTTGTACAATACTGGAAGAATGAAGGATTGCCATCAGAAGAAGAAATAATCAGAAAAATATTGGAATGTGCAGAGATGGACAGATTAACTATGAGACTGAAAGATAAAGAAGACACAGACTACTACCAAATTTGGGATTTATTTTGATGGTTAGAGGAAAGAATGAAGGATTAGGAATCGAATATGTATTAGCATAGCTAACCCCAGACAACCCGTTGATTGGAAAAATTAACATATGTGTGCAAAAGAAAACCAATAAAAAAAAGTATGAGCTAACTTCAAATAGATGAGATCTCCTGGGGTTTACATTAACTGTCCCTGGTCAACTGGTATTGTTTACTGAGGAGAATGGAGACTATCCTAATGAGACTCCCTCCAAATCATTTTATGATATAAATAAGATGAACCTGAAGTGGAGCAATAAAATCTAGTTGTACAGCAGATATCTCTCCAGGAGCCTAGGATTTGTTGGAGGCTCCCTCTTTGTATTTTTAATACCAAAATCTACAGACAGGAATGGATTTTATTGATGCCAATTCCTGAATAGGTTGGGAAACCAATGGAAATGGTTTCAGTTAAGCTCGGTTTTGCTTAACCCTTTATACTGAGGACTGATTGACAATATAGCAGTTGGCTCACTGTCCCACTGTTAATATGAAGATCAAAACATGAATAGTAAAAATGATGCACTTTGGGACTTTTAAATTAAATTTGTTATTGTGTGTTTGGATGTGTTATTATAATGAGCTTTACTTTTTATTTATTAGAGTATGTATTGCTGCCATGTTTTAAAAATAAGATCAAGATTTTTGTTTTTGAGAGGGAGAATTAGGATGATTGGACATTTCCCTGGATCTTGAATAATGATGGGAAGAGACTGCAATGTGTGCATGGGCCCTACTGATAAATTTCTATTTGCTAAGTTTGTGCATATGTAGATATTACAGAAGGAAATAAAGGCTAATCAACAAAAACATCAAGAGGGAAAAGCTGTAATTATGCACAACTATGCCTTGCATGTTCACTAAAGAGTTTACATCATTTTGTACCCAATGGAGCAGCTTAGGGAAGCTCTGAAAATGAATATACTCTTCTCATGGGCAATGGCACCTATATAGTTGTCTTTTAGAGTTTGTTATGGTCTGTAATCTAAATGTCAACCTCCAGCTCAAGTATCCAAATAAAAGTCCAGGATTATTTTCATCTCTGAAAAGCTTACTCTTTATTGAATACATGGCCTGGTGAAGGCAAGGAAAAACTAACTCTAAAATCTCAGAGTTCTGAAGAAGCTGGCAGATGTTATCTCAGAACCATTGCACCATATCTTTCAAAAGTCCTGGAGCACCGGAGAAGTACCTGAGGATTGGAAAAGAGCTGATGTGGTCCCCATCTTCAAGAAAGGAAAAAAAACAGACCCAGGAAACTAAGTACCAATCAGTTTAACATCAATACCTGGGAAAAGATAATTATAAAACAGATCTTTTATAACAAGTAGAAGCAAACAAAGTTATAACTAGTAGCCAGCACGGGGTTGTCAGAAACAAATCATGCCAAACCAATCTTATTTCATTCTTCGATAAAGTGACTAAACTAATAGACCAGCAAAATATTGTGGACGTAGTATACTTAGACTTCAGTAAGGCATTTGATAAGGTAGGCCATAACCTACTCCTTGGTAAGCTAGAAAAAGGTGGAATAGACAACATCACCAACAGATAGATCTGTAGCTGGCTGGCAAACTGTACTCAACGAGTAGTCCTCAACGGCACTACATCCACACTGAGAGAAGTAAGCAGTGGGGTACCACAAGGTTCCGTCTTAGGCCCAGTACTGTTCAATATCTTCATAAATGTCTTAAATGAGGGAATTGAAGGGGAACTCATCAAATTTGCAGTTTGGTAGGAGTAGCCAACACCCTGGAAGACAAACCCAGGATCCAAAAAGATCTTGACAAATTTGAACAATGGACCCTGTCCAACAAAATAAGTTTCAATGTGGAGAAAAGCAAAGTTTTATATTTAGGCAGGAAAAATCAAAGGTACAAGTACAGACTGGGGGAGACCTGCCTTAAAAACAGTAACTGTGAGAGGGACCTTGGAGTCCTAGTGAACGGTCAATGTGTAGCAGCAGCCAAAAAAGCTAATACAATCATGGGTTGTATAAACAGAGGCGTAGAATCAAGATCACACGAAGTATTAGTACCTTTATTAGTATCTTTATAAAACCCTAGTAAGACCACACCTGGAATACTGCAGCCAATTTTGGTTACTTTATCACAAAAAAGATGTTGAGAGTTTGGAAAAAATTCAGAGAAGAGCAACTAAGATGATCAAAGGCCTAAAGACTAAAACATATGAAGAATGGCTGCAGGACTTGGGTTTGGCTAGCTTAAAGAAAAGAAGAAATGGGGTGACATGATAGCAGTATTCCAGTATTTGAGGGACTGCCACAAAGACGAGGGGGTCACATTTTTCTCCAAAGCATCAGAGGGCAGGATAAGAAACAATGGTTGGAAACTGAACAAAGAGAGAAGCAATTAAGGAGAAATTTCCTGACAGCGAGGACAATTAACCAGGGGAACAGCTTGCCTCCAGAAATCGTGGGTGTTCCATCACTGGAGATTTTTAAGAAGAGACCAGACAGTCACTTGTCTGAGATGGTATAGGTTCTCCTGCTTAAGCAGGGGGCTGGACTAGAAGACCTTCAAGGTCCCTTTTAGCTCTACTCTATTCTATTCTATCCCAAGGCATCAGACCATAGCATATAACAATGACTTTCCCAGCCAAACCCCCCAGGTGTCTATGTAGCTCATGTAAACAAGTTCTCTTCCGTAGAACTGGAGAGGTTTCATTTCTCTAACTAACTCATTCAAAAGCAAAACCTCCCACGCCTTTACTCTAATGGCAAGACGAAACAGAGAGGCAGGTAGCTGCCAAATTTTCACTCTTGACAATAAATCAGAAATGATAAACTATTGATCATATTAATTCTCACCATGATAGCTTGGGAATGTATTATAACATAACATAACATAACATAACATAACATAACATAACATAACATAACATAACATAACATAACATAACATAACATAACATAACATAACATAACATAACACAACATAACACAACACAACACATATATCTATACCTCTACTCTACCTATCATCTATCTCTATCTATTTACCGGTGTCTGTCTGTCTATCTGTCTGTCTGACTGCCTATATCTCTTTCTGATCAGTTGAAAGGGAATGCCCCATGCATATACAATATGCTGGACTAATGATCTGTCTAAAGCAGGGGTGTCAAACTGCCGGCCCACAGGCCAGATGCATCATGCCGAAACCGCACCCACCCCATTGCTAGCAATGGAAAAAAAAGTTGTATTACCTCACGACACGTCACGTGACATTGCAAGTTTGACACCCCTGGTCTAAAGTATTGATGAATGTCTTCAGTTCTGTATCCACAAACCCGTATATTTACATTGGGTGATCAAATACATTTTTAGAATTGCTTCAGATCTTATCATGCCTCCAAAGGTTTTTGATTTTTAAGAAAACAATGTGAATTTGAATTTGTTCTTCTAAATCAAAACTGTGATGACCCAGGGCACAGCACAGAGGCAATGCAGTCAGCTGGCAATTCAAACTGCCCTTTAATTGCTCCAATTTTTCCCCAAATGCTTCCAAGTTTCTGGCAAGCCTCCAAACAATGGAAGACACACACACCTCTGGCTGCAAGTAGTTTCACATACAGTCTGATTAGGAAAGTAATTTATTCAAGGTCATGGATATAATCAGTGCTTTTTTTCTAAAAAAAAAAAAAAAGGTGCCGGAACTCACACACGTCATACAACCCGCCTTGCCTACCCTACAAGGTTCCATCCAAAAAAGGTGCCGGAACTACGTTCTGGGCGTTCTATGAGAAAAAAAGCCCTGGATATAATGACAGAAAAATAATTTTGCTGCATTATTGCTACTGTAAAATTACATTTAACATTTAACTGATAGCTAATGAAGAGAAGGACAAAGAGTGACACGATGGCAGTGTTTCAATATCTAAGGGTTTGCCACAGAAAAAAGGGGATTGATTTATTCTCCAAAGGAGCTGAAGGCAGGACAAGAAGCAATGGATGGAAACATATCAAAGAAAGATCTAACCTAGAACTAAGAGAGATTTCCTAACAATGAGAACAATTAATCAATGGAATGGCTTGCCTCCAGAAGTTGTGGGTGCTCCATCACTGGATGGTTTTTAAGTTTGGACAGCCATTTGTCCAGAATGGTATAAAGTCTCCTTCTTGAATAGAGAGTTGGTCTAGAAGACCTCTAAGATCCCTTCCAACTCTATTTTTCTGTTATTCTGAAGAAAATCTTTCCTATTAGATTAACTACTGATAGACTGATTATATGCTATCAAGTCAATGTCAACTCTTGGCAACCACACAGATTTTCTCTATGATAATCTGTTCCTAACCTGATTCATCTTGTTACTGGTCATCCCGTTCTTCTCTTTCTTTCCAGCATTAGAATTTTTTCCAGAAAGCTTTAGAAAATAAGTTAACACCCTCTTCTCTGCAACAGCCCCTCAAATATTGGAAGATTGCTCTCATATATCATCCCTCATCCTTCCCTTCATTAGACTAGACCAGGGGTCTTCAAACTCGGCCCTTTTATGACTCATGGACTTCAACTCCCAGAATTCCTCAGCCAGACACGCTGGCTGAGGAATTCTGGGAGTTGAAGTCCATGAGTCATAAAAGGGCCGAGTTTGAAGACCCCTGGACTAGACATACCCAGTTCCTGCAACCATTCTTCATGTTCTAACCTCCAGCTCCCTAATCATCTTTGTTGCCATTCTCTGTACCATTTCTAGAGTTTCAACATCTTCTTTTGTATCATAGTGACCAAAACTGTATACAGTATTCCAAGTGTGATTTTACCAAAGCAGTATAAAATGGCACTAACACTTCATGTGATACTATCCCACTGTTGATGCAACCTAGAACTGCATTGCCTTTTTTGGCAGCTGCAGCACACTGCTGGCTTACATTTAAGTGGTTGCCCATTAGGACTACTAGATCCATCTCACGGTTACTGCTGTTGAGCCAAGTACCACCTATTCTTTACTTGTACATTTGGTTTTTCTTCCCTAAGTATAAAACCTTACCTTTCTCACCACTGAATTGCATGTTGTTGGATAGGGCCCAGTATTCAAGTCTGTCAAGATCCTTCTGGAGTTTGACCCTATCTTCTAAAGTGCTACCTATTCCTGCCAGCTTGGTGTCATCTGTATTTTTGATGAGTTCCCCTTCTCACCCCTCATCTAAATCAATTATGAAAATGTCGGAGAGTACTGGGTTTTAAGACAGAACCTTGCATGCTTCCTCCATGTGGATGTAGTTCCATTGAGGACTGCATGTTGAATGTGCAATTTATCTCTCAAGGTAGTTACCAAGAAGTAGTTTGTGGTCTACTATGTCAAGTGTCTTATTGAAGTCCAAGTATACTATGTCTTAGCATTGGGCTGGTCCCTAATTTAGTCATTTTGTCAAATAATTCAATATGATTTGTCTTGCATTATCTCTTTTTGACAAACCCATGTTGGCTTCCAGTAATAGCTTTGCTGGTTTTAAAGTATTTGATTATCTTTTCCAGGATCTTCCAGGTAATGATGTCAGGCTGATTGATCTGTATGTTACAAATAGCAAAGTGAAATTAAGTGAGGATAAGGAGTTGGATCAAAGTAGACAGTTCCCGCATATCACTTACATATATCTGGCACAGGGAGATGGGCAGCTTGGGCACTCCTCACAGAGAGGGGGCTGATAGCGTCCATTACATTTGCATGTATTGCATTGACATTCCCCCCGGAGACTGCACACATTCCCATATTTATTCAGGCATTTTTCTGTTGAAGCTAGGCACTGACAGGCAGTGCCATCATATTTTGAGTTACATTTACATTTCCCACAGTCACAATCGCCTCTTTCTGAAAAGAGAAATTAGAGAGGTTAGGGCCAAAAGCATTTCTTTGCATCTGTCCTTGACACATAACATCCAAAATGGGTTATCTAGAAAGGGTTACTAAATACAGGCCAGCACTCTACTGCACATGGCCAGCCATTCAGAAGTGATCCACTGCAGGTACAGAAGCCCTGGAATTCTGGGCATCATATGAAAAATACTGCAGTGATCCTCAATGCAAGAACTTGTCCCTGGCAAATTGGATGTTCAAAAACTGTGAAATAAACAATATTCTAAAGGAAATGGTCAATATTTATTTATAGGAACACAAAAATTCATCCTAGGTATATGGATATCAGCTGATTTACTTCCAAATTATACAGTGTGGATTAAATTTCTATTTATACAACTCTTTGTAAAATACAGAAAAATAACAGTGTGTAATGGGAATCATATGTTTTACAGCTTATAGTAAGAATGTCTGGAGTAATAGTATCAAAGGCCAGAGGAGATAAATTTGGTATTTTCATATTCAGCTTTCATCAATCACTTACCTTCCCCTCCACACATTAGACCATTGTGAAGTTCACAGTTCATGTTGTCACATTCACAGAAGGGACCATAAATATGCTTTTTGGAATCTGCCATAGTATGGCAAATACATTGTCCACATACACAATCTCCCAGGCCAGAACAAATGACTGAAGAATTGTCCTTTCGACAGGTTTTTTCCAGTTCCTTCCTGGTTTTGCCTCCAGTCTTACAATCACAGTTCTTTCCAACATAGCCAGCATTGCATCTGGCATGAGAGAAGACATATTCAACATCAAAGAATAGAGTTAGCAAGCATCATTATTATGATCAACCTTATTTTCAACTACAGTTTCCTTTATCTGTATTTATAATCTGCTACTATACAGTCTGCATCCATATATACTCATCAAAGAAGGTGTTCTGTCCCAGCCTACGTGAGTCCTTGTTAAGCTCACAAGGAGAAACCCCTCTTCCAACAAGCAGGCTGGAACTGCAGGAAAAAACCAATCCCCTTTTATTATTCACAGACTTGAGTCAAAGTCCAAGGCAAACAAAACACAGTTCATAGAAACTTGATCCTCAACACAAACGGTTGCCTTTGGCAACCAGCACCTCCCACACCTTCCCTTTTATTATGCAGCCAAGGCGTGGCTTCCTAATGCCTTCTCCTGTGCCTTTGGAGCCACGCCATTGCATTCCTCTGTCTGACTCTCTTTTCTTGTTGGCGTTTATGTGCATCCTGGATATCTTCCAGCTGTGATTCATCACTGTCCAACTCAGACTCCCAGCACAGCTGTGTCTCAGCCTGAGTGCGAGTAGAGGGGCCAGGCTCCTTGTCAGAATGTAAGTCTTGGAATTCCTCAGAGCCTTCCTCTGACTCTGATGTCACTCCAGACCCCTCTTCCTCCTCTGATTCCTCTGACTCAGCTGCCGGGTCCACTGGCTGGTGAGGAATCACAACAGAAGGATTCCTACTTCTGGATGGAGAGGCACAGAATTATTCTACTAATTTCTTTTTTGTCAGGATCCAGCCCATGGATGCCTCTGTTGCTCAGACTGTACAGATTACATAATTCTTTTCAGGTTAGTAAATTGCTATTTGAATTCACTTGCGACAATCACAAAGGCTTCAGGCAAATATTCTATTTCTAAGTATATACAATCAGATATTTTTTATTTCCACTTTGTTTCATAAATTTATGTTTTACATTTTTTTAAAGTTTCTGTATAGTATGCATGTGTTAAATAAAAATTACCCAGAAGATTTGTGAATTTGATAAGAAAATGATTCAGTAATAAATATTTGCTAGGTAGGTACTCAGAGAGCCAGTTTGATGTAGTGATTAAGGCACTAGTCTAGAAACTGGGAGACCATGAGCCCTCCCCAAAATGTTTTTATTACTATTTATTGTTCTCAATTAAATTCCTTGCCTTGAAAAATTCAAGCAAGCATTTGTTTTTTTTCTATAAGAGCAGTTTTTGATAGACAGACTGCTTGAAAATATTGATGTACAGATAGTTCTCAAGTTATAACCACTTTTTCAGCGACCATTCAAAGTTACAATGGCACTGAACAAGATATCATGGTTCCGATAGATGAAACCATTTAAAAGAACTTCAAGGCAAAGATTTCTTCCTTAAAGAACATTTTATTCAGGAAACAAAATATCGGCACTTACATAGGTGAACCCAAGACTGAAATCCCCTCCCTCAGGCTACAAAATAACAAGTTGCAATTCCCACCCCAAATTGCTGTCATAAATCACATTCACCAATTATTTCAAACCGTGGGCTCTCCTCCCAGCTTTTCAACCCTTATCAGGGCTGACCTTGATTCTCACACAGAAGCATTGTTATGGCTAACTGAGAAACTTAACATCCCCCTTCCCCCTCCTTCATCTAAAATCTCTAAACTAAACTGTTGCAACAAAGACAAAATGAAAAATGGTTTCAGTTCAGTTTGTCCCAAAGTTGACAGTACTTACAACTGTTTCTTGAAGTTCTGACCATTATAGCACCCCCTCCCCATAGTCATATGATCACCATTTGCAACCTTCCTTGCTGGCTTCCCACAACAAAGTCAACAGGGTAATGAGCAGGGAAGGTTGCAACTCACTCCCACAAATTGCTCCTGCCTCCTGAGGAGCTTGCAACGCCTATGAAACTCCTATGAAGTTTGAGATACTCTGTAGCAAGAATAGAATAGAATAGAATAGAATAGAATAGAATAGAATAGAATAGAATAGAATAGAATAGCTGGAAGGGACCTTGGAGGTCTTCTAGTCCAGCCCCCTGCTCGAGCAGGAGAACATATACCATTTCAGACAAGTGACTGTCTAGTCTCTTCTTAAAAACCTCCAGTGTTGGAGCGCTCACAATTTCTGGTGGCAAGCTGTTCCACTGGTTAATTGTCCTCACAAAGAAGTGAGGACAGTGGTGGGATTCATCTGGTTTGCACCACTTCGGCAGAACCGGTAGCTAATTTTTTGTTGCCCAGGCCCAGAATGGACTTCCAGAAGTGGCATCCACACAGAGAATCGGTTGTTCATATATTTGAATCCCACTGAGAATATTTGTACCTCAGGGTAGAGCGGTGGTGCTCTCTGAGCTTGGTTTTCTGACAGAGTGGGGTTTGCTTTCTTTTATGCACTAGTGGCTTGCTTGTCAGTGATGGTAGGAGGGGTCTTGGTGGTTCCAGGTGCATGCCCTGCCCACCAGTGTCAAAGACAAACCTCCAATAAACTGCACAGCTGGATGGAAAATAGCCCAAGAAAGTAAGCAGAAAATTATATGGCTCATGATCATGGTTGCACACCTCAGACTAAACAAATATCAGCACACCATGGAAAACCTCAAGGAACAATTAGAACAGACCAGCACATCAGAGCACATAGAAAGGCTGACAATCCTCATGAAGATTACATCCTGGAGACATGCTGGGAAAGGGAAAACCAAACTACAGACCAAACTACTCTAACTATAAAAGGCAGAAGATTAGCAGAATACATCTATGAACACCAACTAGCGTTCAAAAAAACATGAGGAAAACTTCTTATTTTTACAACAGATGGACAGACTTAATCATGGTTTCAATTGGGAAACTATGAACATCCTACACCAAGCCAAGTCCAAAAATGCTAGAGAATTCCTGGAACCCTGACACAGAAAAATCAGATATCAATAATACATAGAGTTAAATAGCATCTACATACCATTCAAAAGGGACAATCAAAAAGCCAAGAAGGAACCCAAAAGACCCAAACACCTCCTCACCAGCAATCAACACCCAGATGTGCAGAGATTATTACCAAGATTAATATTAGACCAACAATCAAGAAGTAAATAATATCACAATCAAAGCACCACAAACTCAGACAAACAAGCTAACAGTAAACAACAGCCTAAACAAGGAAGCACCAAGACCACTCCCATCAACACTGACTGAGCAAGCCACTAATAAATATATATAAAATGAGAGCAATCTCCACTGCCTTCTAGAGCTGATGATGTTACCTAGTTTGGTAATGAAATGTCCGCAAGAGAATAATCAAGTTCACAGAGCTCCAGGGACCCCATAATCCATAGCACCCCCCACCTGCCCGCACTCTGTAGCTCCTGCTTTCAGCATCCCTCATCCCCTGCGGCATCTGCACACACCTTCTATAGTGCCTACCTACAGTATCTGCGTACTACCTCATGACATCTGTGCATCACCCTGCACTCCTTGCCCCAAATTCCCACCTCTTCCTGCTTAATGACCTAAATAGTCCTGGAGTTACAATGGCAACTGGACCTGCTGAGATTGCTGTCACTAAGTGATACAGAAACATGATGTTGCAATATATGACTGCTTTGGGTAACGCAGAAATTCTAATCCCATTATTTACTTATTTATACCCGATCTTTATTATTTTTACAGATAACTTAAGGCGGCAAACATATCCAAAACACCTTCCTCCATACAACAACAACCCTGAGAGGTGAGGTGGGCTGAGAGCCCAAAGTCATTCAGCTGGTTTTCATGGCTAAAGCAGGACTTGAACTTGTGGTTTCCTGCTTTCTAGCTTGGTGCCTTAAACACTAGACCAAATTGGTTCTCAATTGCAAATATTTGACTTGTGTTGCTAAAATAGTTAGATTACCTGCAAATCCCACAGGTGATAATCCCTTGTCCATTACAATCAGATTTATTTGGTAATTCCTCATCACATTCACAGTTGCACCGACTGTATACATGTACAGTGGTGAAGTCTGTGAAACCAAGAGGCTGCAGAGTAAGAGTCTGATTTTCAATGCATGATGTTGCTGTAATTTGCACTTGGAAGGTAATCTGTAAAAAAAAAAAAAAAGAGGACTGCCCCATCTAGTCTCAAATGACATTTAAAATAATTAGTAGAGATCTAGTATTTCATTAATTATTTATCTAATTATTGACAAATTATGATTATCACTTGGTTAAATAAAATGCTGTGATGTCAAGGATTATTCAACAATGGATGTTGTAGAGATATTTACAACAGAGACTTATGAACTTTGGAAATAAGATGCAATTGTTGGTAAAGTTTCCAATTAATAACCTAAAGAAAGGTTTTACTACTAAGATCCAAACAAGGGTATTTGGCCCTGGATTCAGAGATAATGATCAGAGCAATTTGTAGTAAACATGAAACTTTCTATGAGTAAATTACAGTAACAGACTGTTAACAGAGTGCTTTGAATTTTAAATTTGTTAACTACTTTTTCTTTCACATATGTAATGTATAAAGGTCAATCAGTTTGCAAATACATCTACAAGCTTATAAACTTGGGACCTACTTTTCAAGGCGGGAAAGCCATTTATTGTTGCAATAGATTTGTCAGTGTTCAACTGGGAGGATGATATGTATTTTTGTCATTTGTTTTTTTTAATTCACATTTTTTCAATGTTTTTGTTTAGTTTTGTTTTGTCTCTGTTCAATTTTTTTCTTTTGGATTTTAGATTTTAATTTTTTGAATAAAATAAAATTGTTAAAAAAACCAAATAATCATAGTACTATATCAGGGGTGTCAAACTGCTGGCCCATGGGCCGGACACATCACACAGAAGCTGCGCCCACCCCATTGCCGGCAATGGCAAAATAGTCTCGATACGTCGCGCAACGTCACATGACGTCACAAGTTTGACATGTCTGTACTATATGAAATAAATGGAACTCTACAGTACATACAAAAAAGCAATGTACAAGGCCAAACTACAGAGATTTGCCTTAAGACTAGGTTCCTAAATTTAAACATTAATGTACATTATTGTTTATATTAATGTATATTAATGTTCTGTTGGCAAGGGAGTCCCATTTGGCAGGTGCTAGGGAGCGTGCCTTTTTTTGCTATGGTGCCTGCATTGTGGAATCTCCTCCCCTGGCCTTCTGAAGGCCCTCATGACCTGGCTGCGGCATCAGGCCTGGGGACCTCAAGGGGATGGTGCATTTTATTGAAGTGCTGTTTTTATTGTAGTGCTTCCCTCAAAGGGGCCATTAGCAATCAGGTGCTTCTATCCCTTTTCCCAGGTGACTAGCTCATCTGGCCCAGGGATACCAACACATTTTGGAGGGAGTTATGGGCTTTAATTAAAATAATGATTGTTAGGATAACATCAAATTATACAGGAACTATCACCACTGCAATAAACATATAAGCAGTAACACAGCAGCACATTAAAATAGTGATCCTTAAAATAAAATCAAACTACAGGTAATAGAAACAAACACCAAGACAATAAATATATAGCCAGTAACCCAGCAAGCACATTAAAATAGTGGTCTTTAAAATAAAGTCAAATTTAAAAAAAACTACAGATAATAGCAACAAGCACCAAGGCAATAAACACAATAAATACTTTAAACTGGTGGCTTTTGAGATAAAATCCAATTAAACAGCACAATAATATAAAATGTTAAACCTTATGGTGAGCAATTTTGCTCAAGCTAAAAATGTCCCATTGCCTCCCATTTGGCTCAACAATGGCCAGCATAATCTGAAAAGTGGATGCCATCAGATTCCTATGTACCCTATGATTGAGAGAAGACCACTTTAATTTGCCTGCTGGGTTGTATGAGTATAATTGGATGCCCCAGAGTCTGTTGGGAGCCTCAGCGACCTCCCAGAAACTCATGGAATGGATGGTAGGAAACATGAATCTGATTGAGGTGCTGGTGTATTTGGATGACATTATTGCTTTTGGTGAGACACTAGAACAAACATGTCAAACTCGCGATGTCACATGATGTCACGCAATGTATTGGGACAGTTTTGCCATTGCTGGCAATGGGCTGGGTGTGGCTTCCGCATGACGCGTCCGGCCTGCGGGCCAGCAGTTTGACATGCCTGTACTAGAAGAACATGAGGAGCATCTAGAACGGGTCCTAAAATGGCTCCACAATGAGGAGTTGAAGTTGTCCTTTGAGAAGTGTCAGTTTTATTAGTCATCTGTCACCTATTTCAGGTGTGTTGTTTCTGCAGAAGGAACGTTGACTGGCCGCACAAAGTTGGAAGCCGCCACCTCCTGGCTTGGGCCCCAAAACTGAATTGAGATAATTTCTAGAATTCTGAATTGAAACTTAACTGAATTGAGATCATTTCTATGGTCAGCCCAGCCAAGACAAAGGGCCCAGAAAATCTCAAGAGCCAATACAGGGGGAATGGACCAAACAGTATCAGCAGACTTTTTGCGAATAGAATAGAATAGAATAGAATAGAATAGAATAGAATAGAATAGAATAGGAAGGGACTCGGGAGGTCTTCTAGTCCAGCCCCCTGCTCGAGCAGGAGAACTTATACCATCTCAGACAGGTGAATGTCTAACCTCTTTTTAAAAATCTCCAGTGATGGAGCGCCCACAATTTCTGAAGGCAAGCTGTTCCACTGGTTAATTGTCCTCATTGTTAGGAAGTTTCTCCTTAATTCCAGGTTGCTTCTCTCTTTGGTCAGTTTCCAACCATTGTTTCTTATCCTGCCCACTGGTGCTTTGGAGAATAGTTTGACCCCTTCTTCTTTGTGGCAGCTCCTCAAATACTGAAATACTGCTATCATGTCACCCCGTTTCTTCTTTTCTTTAAGCTAGCCAAACCCAAGTCCTGCAGCTGTTCTTCATATATTTTAGTCTCCAGGCCTTTAATCATCTTAGTTGCTCTTCTCTGACCTTTTTCCAAGGTCTCAACATCTTTTTTGTAGTATGGTGATCAAGCCTGACTAATCCTCCAGTTCTGGCCTAAGCAGACCAAACCTGGCCCTATGAGCTACATATCGACACTAGCAGAGATGACCTTGGTGGGGTAATGTATCAGAAGCACGATGGACATTTGAGCCCTGTTGCCTATATTAGTAGGAGCTCACCCCAGCAGAGAACTACCCCACTCATAAACTGGAATTCCTGGAGTTGAAGTGGGCTGTGGTGGATAAGTTGAAGAACTATTTGTATGGAGCAGATCAAGACCAACAACAACCCACTTATATACCTCTTCATGACAGCCAAATCTGATGCCACAGGACATCGATGGTTGATTGCCCTCTCTGGACTCCTCTTCAGTTTAAAGTATTGACCAGGAGTGGGAAAAAGAGATTCAGACAGCCTATGGAGCCACTGCTGATGAATGGACTTGGTTGACACCAGAGGGTATACAAGCCCTGTGCCAAGGAGTTGGATATCGAACTAGAGAAGCAATAGGGGCAGAAGCTATTGGGGTCATTGCCACGTGTTTCCCTAAGCTATATTCCAATCCAACCCAAGTGAAATATGGAGGTCTGCCTGTTCTTATCAAGAAAGATTTGAGGAAGGATAAAGCAGAAGACACCCCCCCCCCCTTTTGCAACTAGAGAGTGGCCAATGGACGTTTTTGCTGACTGATTCACTGAAGGAAGCCCAACTGTTGTATAAAAATTGGAACCCCTCAGATAGTCCTGAAGATAAGTAGCAATTGTTTCTGAAAAGCATAAAGAAACAGTGTTGGCTGCTTTACATGATGACTGTGGTGATTTGGGACAAGACAGAACTTTTAAGGCTGAAGTTGAAGGTTATTGTCATTCCTGTTTACATTGTACGCAATGAAAATTTTTATCTTTCCAGGAGCCCCATACAAGTGAACAGGGAAATGTTCTGGTAGTAACTGATCATTTCACCTGCTATGCCCAGGCTTTTCCAGTTAAATATCAACAGGCTGCTAGGGTAGCCAGAGTCCTGGTGGAGAAATGTTTTGTTCACTGCCCCAGTGAATACACTCTGATCGAGGCAGAGACTTTGAGAGAAATGTTACATTATTAACACCCCTTTGCTCAATATTTCCTCCTTTTAACTTTGATTTTTATAGTTTTTAATGTTTTGAATGATAATAATAATACTTCTGTATTTAGTTTAACTGTTTTTAGCTTGTTACACATTGCCCAGAGTCACTTGTTTTATGAGATAAGCAGCTGTATAAATTTGACAAATAAATAAATACCCATATTAGCATGTATGGGGATTGATTTATTTTTTTAAAAATGGTCAAATACATAATTAATATATGGAGTTAATATGTAAAGGTAAATCAGAATAAATTATAAATGTGTAAAAGCAGGAATTTAGTTTCACTTTAGCAGATTCTATATTTGTTTTTATATATGAATTGTAATAAACACTAACTAGCGATAAATCATACTAACCTCAGTCCCTATTTGTTCTTTGGAGTAGAAAGGATTGCCAAAAAGACAGTCCTGTTTAACAGTCCTGAACTCTAGATTAATAAGTCCATTAATTAGCATTACTAGAGAGAGAGAGAGAGAGAGATACCTCCAGTATTAAAAGCTACATTTTGTTCTACTGTATATTTGTCTTGAGCAGGAACTGTACTTTGGAAAACAAATGCCACCACATGTATACAAAAGCAACTTCAATAAAGATTGTCTCCAGATGTAACATTTTGTCAAGAATCTGTCTCTAAGGGACTCAGCCATATATTTTAAGAAAGGATGTACCACAATTTTATGTCATTTGCATTGTTGTAAAAAGAAGGAATGGGAAGGAATTTTAAGAAGAGCATAGTATCTTTTAAGTTCAAAGAAAAAAACCTTTTCAACAGAATGTTTAACAGCTTTGGTGAACAGGCTTAAAAAATAAATTAGTACATAAATAAAAAAAAAACTTTTTGTAAATATTTTCTGAAATGGAGAAACTAGCCTTTTCTTTTCATGTACATTACAGTCAAAATACTTTTCAACAGAAACCATGTATGAGTTACCCCCTACCTTATCCTTGATTTTTACATTGTCGCATTCCCCTTTTGGTTGATTCTTTGTATGTATTTTATTAAGGCAGAAGGAATCATATGAGATTTTGATGGAGCGTGGCACAGAGCTATGTTCTAAAATAATTTTGGAAGATAAATCCTAAAATGAAATAAAAATAAACTTGATAAAAGACTAGAACCTGTGTCATTATTCAGAGGAAGAAAAACAAGATTCTATTGCCTGTAAGTTCACACTGCTACACATCTTACATATAGAATAGAAAAAAAATTAATCAACCCCAAAGAATTTTGGTGTCTCTCTTTTTGATGACATATCTTATTGTAAGTGATGATCCACTGATGCAACTGACTGCTACCTTCTTATAGTAAGTACATTGTCTTCCAAACCAAGAGACAGTAACAGCAACATTTGTTTCTGGAAGATGGCTGGATTTTCTCTCCCTGTAATAAATGCATTGTTCTCTGACCTGGCAAGCAAAATGGTAAGCTAAGCTACAGTTATCCTAGCCAACAGCTGTTTTTCTTTTACTTTTTCTGCCTGACACTTTTTTTAGTAAATTACATATAGTTCCAAAGAGTAAAATAAATAGCCGACTTAGCACTCTTTTTCACTGCAAGGGCCACACCAAAATCTTTGGGGCCGCAGCTTTGCATGATGGATGCACACAAATACACACATAGATCTTCCTTACACAGTCACCCCACATGTATTCTATCATTATCTAATACAAATAATGTTTGTATTAAACAATTACATAGAGAATTGTAGGTCTTTACAGTATCTTTTCCTGTTATATATTTTCATTTATTTTAAGCATTTACCATGCAGTTTTTTACACAGCCTTTTGATACGGTAATGCATATCCTTTTGGGCTTGTTCCTTTTTCTTTTTTTATTATTATTTCAAAAGCAATACAAATTTTATTTTAAAAAAGAACTAGCGTTAAACTTTTAGATGGGGGGGGGGAAGGGGGAAACTATTATGTTTTTTTAAATTCCCAAAGTACTAAACTGGAAGAAAATGAGAAGCCACGAGATATTCTGTTTCCTCACTGCAAGAGTGATCTTCTGCAGCTTGCCAGTAAGTAAGCAGATTGTCAGGCTACCTGGAAGTGAGAGATGGATGGAGACAGATGGGTTGAACTGCAGGCAGCTTCCAGGGGTTGTATATGGCCTATGAGCTGGCAGTGAACTTAAGTAAGATAAGAAGATTATTAATAACACTTACATCATAAGCACGCTGGATGAGTTGAATTACATTATTTGAATTCTCCTGCAGTTTTCCTACAGCAGACTTGGGGATCATCTTGCTCAGTTTCTACCAGTAAAAAACAAACATGCATTATCTTATAAGCTTTCATGCAGCATAACATAATAACATTTGCTTTGTTCATGTGACATAATTTACAAAATTGTCTTTGTTACTGGAGATTTACTTACTTCGTATGTATCGTAGACTTTTTGGGTAACAGCAAAAATGGGCTGGATATTATTTTCTTTAAGTTTTTGTATCAACTGACCAACAGAAGGATAGTCCTATCGAACCAAGGAAATGGGGTGAGAGCTCTGTTTTCAAATTAACACAGATGATGGTCCTAACCCATTCACTAATTCTGACCTAACGTTTGGACAAGAAACCACCCTGCTTCAGTCTCAGCCCGAATTTTTCATCTGGGCAGTACAAGTATTGTTTGGCTGACATTGTACAACTCTCATATTTTCCCACTTTATCTCTTCCCACTTTTTCTTGCTACAAAAGTCCACTGAGCTAGAACAAGTGGAATAATTGCTGAATGATTATTTACTGTATTCCTAGTTGTATGGATGCTCTATTGCATTCTACTATTTTACTCTGTCTCTCTTTTGCACCATGTCATGTGACTGGTAGTTCAAGCAGCATCACTCTGAGAGCAACGCTGGCTTTGAGTGACAGAGCATAAGATTATGAGACCTCTTGCTTTACAGGAGCAGAGATGATCACTCTCAGAACGTGACCCTCACTAGTCTTGCCTAAACAATCAAGGTCTTCTGTCCTAAACCATCCTTTCTTCCAAAGGGGTTATGGGATGGGCAATGGAGCAATGGGTTTGAAGTGGCATGCTTAGACAGGGATTACAAGACGTGCTGTGGATAGGGCAGCCCCTTTCACAGCCATTCATTAAAGCCACTCATTTTTTCCCCAGGCTTCCAGAGAGGAAGCCTGAAAAATCTTGTACAGCTTTAATGAACACAAATAACTTCTGCATTCACACAAGTTTGGCAGGTCTTCTCTTTAATAATTGTTGACGTGTTTACAGCCTTACTACATTTTAATATGTTGTTTGTTCTTTTTTTATTCTATGGATTTCTTTTAGGCAGCACATTGTGTGTTGGGGTGTGTGTGCACACATGGAGACACAAGTACATGTTACTCTAAATATATAATGGAAACACATACATACATATACAATTGTGTAATTAGATGTAATTAAAAACAATATAAAATCTTGCCCTTAATATAATTATTGCTTATTGGGTTGCACATAATCTGGTAAATCACATTCTTATTGTCAAAATGATTGGCATCTTGATTCTCATTTCTAGAGGGCGAATAGTGCAGACCAGCTGTTTTACATGAACTCTAGTCTACCTCTAGATTGAAAAGGCAAACTACTTATCATATAGCAGTGCTAGCTGAGAGCTACTTGTATACTTACATATTCATTGCTTTTTTTGTACATATTGTCTTCCAAGTGGCATTCTCCATCAAAAGGTGTTAAAATGGCTCCAAGCTTACCATCCCCAGCAAAATGAAAACCATCATCGGTTGTGTAGACCAATAAGCGAGTCACATTCTTCCAACCAATTTTACTCTAGATTTTAAAACAAAACAAATTCTAAAGCAGTAATAATTATAACAAATTACAAAATCACTGATGCAGGAAGGGACATGATGAATCTGTCAATTTTTCGGTCTAAGACAGGCAAGCCTTTCTACTGTCACAAGCCTTTCTACTAACAGTGTGCCCGTGATGTATTCAGCGGCTGACCTCCATGCCCTGCGAGAGTCCCCTCTCTCGCAGGTTTGGCCCACAGCATTAACGAGGGCCCACCTCTATGAGGGATTTTTTAATCACGAGAGGTGGTCAAAACGCAACCTAAGGGGATTTTTAATCAAATTTTTAGTCCGGGTTTTAGGGGGTTCCAGGGAGAGGGGTGGGCAAACTGAAATTAATTCTCCCAGGCCGGCTGAAGGCCTCGGCGAGGTGGG